ACCAAACCTGCTGCACTAAGCTTTGTTCTCACACTGCTTCTTGTCCTTAACTCTTATGGGGGGCAAATTTGCATCTACCTCTGTGTGTTGGATCTCATATCTCTTCAGCCTTTAAGGGCAAAAGGGACCACTGTGATCACTGGCTGGGTGACTGAAATCCTCAAATCATGATTTAAAGTCTTCAAGTTACAGAGTATTTACTTTAGTTTAAACAGGCTAGTGTCCTGTGCCCCATACTGGAGAAGAAGGTGAAGAAATATAGGGTCTCTGCCAATCTGATATGGGGGGAAATTCCTTCCCAAATATGGAGATTAGTTATACACGAGCATGGTGTCAAGATCCACCAGTCAGACACCTGGGAAACAATTCACTGTAGTGACTCAGTCTCTTTCCTATTTATTGTCCCATTTCCAGTCATTGGGGGTATTTGCTACTAGCAGTTGCCAATAGGCCACTTGTCATTGTAGACAATCCCATAATATCATCTCACCATAAACTTCTTGGTCTTGAAGCCAGTTAGGTTTTTTGTCTGCATTGCTCCCCTTAAAGAGCTGTCCCAGAACTTCACTCCTCTGGTGGTTAAAAACCGTCTACTTTCGAGACTAAACTTGTTGATGATCAGTTTTCATTCGTTTGTTCTTTTGGTGCTTAACATAAATAACTCCTCTCCCTGCACGGTATTTATCACTCTGGTGTATGTATGGAGAAATAGCTAAAGAAGCCAAGCTTCTTGAATCACCACTAGTAAGATAGGCTTTCCATTCCTCTTTACATCCTAGTAGCCCTTCTCTGTACCTCTTCCAGTTTGTATTTTCTTAAACATGGGAAACCAGAACTGCACACAGTATTCCATATGGGGTTTCACCAATTCCCTGTCTCTGCTGGAAATACTGCACCTGATGCATCCTAGGACTGCATTAGCCTTTTTCATAGCTGCATCACATTGGTTGCTCATAGTTATCCTGTGGTCAACCAATACACCCAGATCTTTCTCCTTCTCTGTCGCTTTCAACTGATATTTCCTCAGCTCATAGCAAAATTTCCTGGTTTTATCCTTGGACTTTACATGCATCTTGGAAGTTAATGAATATGTAAAATCTTTCAGTACCTGTGGACAAGAACAGGCTATAGTGTTGCAGTTAGAGTCGTTGTGCAATAGCCAAAATCTGTCTCTTATGTTGCATTTATCCTTTTATTTCAGTGATCTAGCACCAGGTATTTTTAGCTTGCTGACAAAAGCTGAGTGTGGGGTTACGGATTTTGCTGCAAGCATGGAGCACAGAAGAGGAGGAGTATATATGATGGGGATGGGTGCAGTATATTACACTCAGAATAGTATAAAGGGGAGAGAAAGATTCTTGGGGAAGGTGGAGGAAGAGTGAAAGTGAAACATGAAGGAAGGGTGAAGGAAGAAGAAAGAAACCAAAGGCCAGATGCAATCATGGTATAAACAGATGCAGCTCCTTGGCCTTCCGTTCAGTCCTGGATGCTGGCAGGAAGATTCCTATCGCTCAATTGAGAGAGAAGGGAAGGAAGAAACTTAAGAGCAAAAGGAGGGGGAGTTTAAGAGCCTGGATTCCTGAATCCCACACTTAAGGGCTCACAAAGTCTTGTTGTTCAATCAACAACTAAAATGTAAACACACACTTGCATGCGCACAAAGTGTTTGGTTGGAAAGGCTGCTTTAAATCCCTTCCCCGCTAAAGGCTGTTCACTCTGTTTCTGTGTCTCTTGGACTTTCGAATGATGCTCTTTTAGTCCCGCACACACAAAGGTTGGGTGAGTGTTTCTCTCTCCAGGCTTTGTGTGGCTGATGGATGGCTTGCATGGCTTCCCTCTGCAATGGATTGTTGTGGCAGAGAAGCCTCTAGCCCCACCACACACACAAGCTGCATGGCCTATTAGGGAGCCCCTTTGTGATGTAATTGGATTTCTCCCTTTGTTAGTTTGCAATGAAAATGTCATCTATATTGGGGAGGCGCCCATTCATCTCGAATTAAATTCAGTCGTCTCTTCGGTGAGCTGTGAAACTATTCACTCTGCAACAGGCAGCTGCAACTGGAGGCTTCCTTGACAATACCCCACACTGCTCTCTGTAAGCCCAGCTCCCATCCCACAGGGCTAGCGTGCTCCCTCTGTTACCCACATCCATTACACTTCCCAGCCCACCCCTTAACCCCTGAAAAATAGCAACCCTCCAAACTCTGCGGAGTAGCAGGGAAGCTGAAGGCCATGGCTGAAGCAGTGCGTTCATAAGAGCACCCCAGAAGAGAAAGCTCAGCTAAAAGATTCAGCAGAAAAGGAGCCTTTATGTGAAAGGGGTGCAAATTCCAAAAACTCGTTCAATAGCCTCCTGAGTGTTTCAGACTTCCCACCTCTCTCCTGAGTGTTTCAGGCCTACTTATAGTCAGAGCTTAACAGAGTTTGTTAACTAATCAGCTAATTAATTTCATGTTCAATAACTATATTAACATATTAATACATTCAAAATTGGTGGTGAGAGCTCCAACGTGAAGGCATAGGTGTCTGGCCAGCACCAGCAAAAACGTGCACGACTGACATACCTTCACATACAGGAAAGGTCTTCTTCAAGGTCACTCAGCTATGTAGAATTAGCACATAGCAGACATGCATGAAAATAGTCCTGTGGAATGTATATGCCTGAGACATGTACCAGAGGTGTGCTACACACACACACACACACACACACTCACTCCCTTGACATGCACATTCACCAACATCCACTTACTTTCTCTTGAAAGGGGTGACTTCCATGTTTTAAGACTGACATGACCAACAACCCCTTTGTTTTTAATACTCTAGGGGCATATCTAGACTACATGGCTCTGTCGATGGAGCCATGTAGATGAGTTTACTAGACGTAGGAAAATGAAGCGGTGATTTAAATAATTGCCGCTTCATTTCCATCAAAATGGCCACCGCACTGTGCCAATCAGCTGTTTGGCGGCACAGCGGGGCAGTCTGCACGCGCCCCGGTCGACAAGGGAAGCCTTTGTCGACCGCTCCAGTATGCCTCATAAAATGAGGTTTACCAGAATGGTCGACAAAGGCTCCCCTTGTCAACCACAGTACGTCTAGACTGCCCCACTGTGCCGCCAAACAGCTGATCGGCACAGTGCGGTGGCCATTTTGATGGAAATGAAGCGGCAATTATTTAAATCACCGCTTCATTTTCCTACGTCTAGTAAACTCATCTACATGGCTCCATCGACGGAGCCACGTAGTCTAGACGTAGCCTAGGTGAATCAAAAAAATCAATCCTCAAGACATTGGAAGATCCTTAAAATATTTCTCTACCGATTTTGTACAATGTCCATTTTGGCTTTGTGTTCTGTTAAATATGTTGAGGCTCTGACCTAAGTCTAGGAGCTTACTTTCACAAACTCTTACCCATATAAATCCTTACAAAATTATCACACTCATTAACCTACCTGCAATAAGCCCAATATCTCTTAAAATTGTGTTAGCATATGGTTTGCAAAAAAATCAGCTACATAATGTCTTGTCGCACTTGACTAAGACATTGGAGTGCAGAGACTAGCCATGTTGAAATGGACAGCACCTCCTCTAGCACAGTATGCCTTAACATAATTCGTGGGTGCTGGGGAAAGATATACGTCCAGGTTATAAAGCACAGCACCCTTGGCAGCAACACACCCTTGATGCCTATTGAGGTAGAAGAGACCTTACATTAAGAATAACACAGCAGCTGAGTATTGTGAGGAGCTTAGGACTGGAGCTGCTATGGAACAGTAACAAAAAAACAGTAAGAGCAACCAGGCTGGAGCAGGTATTAACAGGGTTGAATTCTTTTTAATTCATCAGTTTTTCGGATACATTAAGTTCTTGACTGAATGGAGCCCACTGCACAAGCCCTCAAACTCACTCTGAGCATTCAGGCTTCAAATTCAACCTGACACAAGAACACAGTCGTTTAGGAGATTAGGTCTAGTGATTAACACGTCTGTTGTAGAAGCACCCAAATCCCTTATGCTCACCCTTATTGTTTCTTTTCACAAGAAGCTTCTCTTCTGTGGAACAAGCAGGCACGATTTACTAACAGGATTAGTTCCGTCACTCGAGCTCACAATGGGAGGCCGCCAGCGTTGAAGTCCCATCTCTGTCAGAGTCCCTCTCAGAGGCTCTGCCTTCCTATGGAGGAAGAGCTGGTGATGCAGACAGGAAGAAATCCCATGGGATTAGTCCCTTATGTTGGTTTTCCACCAGGGAGACTGGCTTTGGTTCAAGGGGCTTCTGGAAGCCAGTCAGCCTCTGCCATCTCTACACAATATAACAACCTGGCTTCCCAAATTAGCCCACTCTCCATGCAAAACCCACAGCCCAGCATTAACCTGCTAATATGCCTCCTTGGGTTAGCTTTGGAGGGATTCTCCACAGGGGTGCATGGTTTAGTCCCAGAATGCCATTCAGTCCTTGCCCTCTACATGAAACTCTTATAGCAATTGACATGTATGCTGAATGTAGACAGTTTTTCATTAGGAACTAAGCTGAGATCATCGCATCATGTTTTATAAGCCACCAAATGACCATCAGAAGGTAACAAATTTCAGTTAATGCCAGAACTCTGCAATTAAAGAGGGCATCAGTTTTAGAAGGGGGGAGAGGGGGCTGAGACTCTCAGCTTAAAAGCAGCAGCCTTTCGAAATATCCGGGGGGCTGAGACTCTCATCTTAAAAGCAGCAGCCTTTCGAAATATCAGCCCAGCCCTATAAAGCGAGCCTGTGAGATTCTTAGACTCCATTGGCGTGACAGGCTCACTATTCCAATCACCTAAGCTAGTCAGTTCATTTCTAGGGTTGCATTTAATCAGTAAACTGGTAAAACCATTGCTGTGTCTTCCCAGACTTCCTAGTATTTAGCATTTGTAGGGGCCCTGCTTGGGAAACTATCACCAACTTTCACCAGCTCTGGCATGCTCACCACAGGCCCAAGAGCAAAAAAAAAATTCAGAGAACAGGAAGTTTGGAAAGAAGTTTATGTACCAGAGTCACAGAACAACTTCAATTTTATTATAAAATGTCATGTTTCAGTTTTTTCTCCTTGTTGTTTCAGCAGAAGGTTCTCATTATCACAGGAACCAGAGGAGAACCTGAGGTGTTGCTCTTGGCATTATTACCCTCCACAGGGGAAGGCTGAAATTTACAGTCAATTTGTGATACACAATTTCCTTCACTCTGCTTATTGAACAAAAACAAGAACCACTCTGTCCATGCACGCTACACAAGTGTTCAGCAAGGCTCCTCCTCTCCAACACATACACACACACGTGTGCGCGAAAACACTAAGAATAAAGCTGTTATAAGCCAATATGGTCCCAAGTCAGAATTCAAAACTGTATCTAGATCTGAATCCAAACCTCACAGAATTTAAATACTCCCTGCAAATTTGTGGGTGTGGTTTGGCCCACTATAATGACAAATAGACCTGAAATATGGATCCAGATGGGATGTGAACTTCCCAAGTCTGGATCTGCTGTTTTTGTTGGGGCCCAATCCTATTTATCAAATGGAGGAGAAATATTGCCCACTCATTCTCAGCTCATCCAGGGGAAAGTTCTTCTGTTTCTTAGCCTTAACAAAGGATTGAAGAAGGCTTTAAAATACACCACACCAAAAACAACCCCTCTCTAATATGATCTTTTAGCAGATGTGTTTCATTTCCACTTTTGCAAATTATCCATGTCTATTGTTTAAAAATTGGTTCCTCCAGCCACACATTTCCAAGTCCAACTTCCCCTGGTTCTGAATGCTGGAATCATTTCCATTGCAGAAGGGCAAAGATATCACCTGCAGTGACAATAGTCCCACACAGCAGAAGAAAGGGAGCAAGTTCTTGTTCAAACACAAATATCCCTGACAACCCAGGCAAGACGAAATCACAGGTGGCATCATCTGTTTTACAGACACTTTTCTTCTTCCCTGTTTTAATCTTCTTCAAGCTCCTTTCTGGTCTCTCCACTTTTTATTTTAACAACCCCCTTCAGGCCCTTATTATAGCCCTCCAGTCCCATGCGTTTAAGACGTGCTGTCAGTCAAGCCCATCAATATTTCTTCTTCTTTTAACTGACATTTCCCTTCTAATACACCTCTAAGATCAAATCACTAATTTGCATGGCAAACCCTGCCTTCTCCAAGCTGTTTTCAAATTGTCTCACATCATGTTTGTTTCATCGCTCCTTGGAGACCCCTCCTGCCCTTCACACCTGCAGATGAAAATGAAGCTCCCAGGTCAGGTCCCCTCAGGGCGAGACACTGGATCTCGTTAGTGCTGGATGACACAACATGACATGCCAGACCCTTTCTATGGCTGGACTTCTAGCGTGACTTCTCTAGCTGGGGATGGAAGCTCCAGGGAAAGCCAGGCCTCGCTTGGACAACCCTAAAACAGAGCAGCTTAATGTGGGAAAAAAAAAAGCCTCACTTCAATTCCCCTGCAATGGTACATACGGACACTTTCAGAATATACAGCTATGCCCCTGTGCACACGTGTACCCCCCCCCACACACACACACACACTCACTCACAAACACACACACGCCTGCCAAGGAAATCGTCACCGAGCAGGTAGCCGTGGTGGCCTGTAAGAGGACATTGTCACCGCTGACTGAGGTGTGAGACCACGTAGATAAGGCCCACCAACAGAAGCCCCCGCACGCCCACCATCATGAGGAGGAAAAGCAGCAGAATGGACATCACTGGCTCCACCACGTGGTTACCGAGGTTCCAGAGGGGAAATCCCATGTTCACTAGCTGTTGGTTCAGTTCGGAAAATGGAGAGCGCCCCCCGGGCCTGGCAGCTTGCTGCTGCGGTGGAGCATGGCCTGCATTAGGCACCACGTTGAAAAACTCCTGCAAACATAATGAGAGAGAAGGAATTCAGCCTGTTGAATCAGACTCTCAGAAGAAGTGGGAGCGGAAGGAAAGAACCAGGCAAACTCTCAGAAATGTTCCTGTTTGTTTAATTCAGAGTAAAATGTCATCCCGAGGTCACCACAACTGACTGCCCCACCTTTCACAAACATTTCTTAGGAACTGCGTGGCTTTTATGCAGAAATTGTGGGGAGAGAAGAACAGCAAATTGGGTCTATTACAGGGACTGGCATCTTTCAGGCTACACCTCACAGTACATAATTTCACTCACCACCCTATACGTAAATCCCTTGAGCCACACCACACACACACACACTCACAGGCAGATGCAGGGAAGCCCAGGTAGGCGGAAACAGCTAGGAACAGCAGCTCCTTGCCTAAGAACATGAAGCCTTTACACACTCTGCGTAGCTGGGGATTTATGGAACTGAAGAACCACCCACACAGAGGCAGATGCAGGGAAGCCCAGCTAGGCGGAAACAGCTAGGAACAGCACTCCTTGCCTGAGAACATGTAGCTGGGGATTTATGGAACTGAAGAAGAAAGGGGTGTGCAAGAGGAGGAGAAGGTAGAGCCAAGGAGCATGCTCCACTACTACCAGATTTCTAAAATCCAAGCTGGAGTCAATGCTGTTCAAATCAGCACTAGCTCCCCCAGCACATTACCACTGCCCTCAAAGGGACTTACAAGCACCACTTCAGTAGGCAAGCAAATGGAAACAAAATTCCCCCACAGCCATGTTTAGAGGTGCTGATTCCAGGAGGGCTGGCAGAAGGGCAACTAATGTAGGAATTGCCACAGGCATTTTGTTGGCCATGACAGAACACATGTTCTGTGACCTGTGAGCAGTCAAACAAACAGCAAAGAGCAGCACAGCAGCACTGTCCCCTCTGGAAGTTGGCACCCAAAGCAATTACTGTGATCACCCACCCCAGGAACTGGCCCTGAACTGACATCTGGGAATTAGAGAGCTTAAGTCTCTGTGTCCTGCAGATCCCTGGCGTCCGTAGTCATTCCATCTCCAGGCCCACATTATAGAGCCAAGCAGTCACAGCGCATCATGATGTGCGGCATCTTTTCCCCTCCTGTATGTTTTCCCTTAGTCAAGGGTGGTTGGGCTCTTAATGTGAATTCAGATTCCTACCCAAATACTGCGTCCGCACCAGCACTGGTCATTTCTCATGCCTACCCCAATAGTTTTTCCAGTATTTTGCTGTAAAATGTGATGTGCTCCCTTCTCCCAATTCTGTCTTGCTTAGCCCTCTGAACAAATGATCCCTCTACATTTTCTTTGTTGTGAGCAAGTTTCAAACTCCAGTGAGAGCTACATTTTTGTCCTTGGGCAATCTTAGACTTTAAAAAAAAATCTTCTTACACTATATTGCATTGAATAGTGCAAGCCATTTTTAAAGCAACATGTTAGCATTATGCATGCATATGGGACATGTGGGCACACATCACAGTGGTTGAAAGCCCATTAACTTTCAACAGTTTCAGAGTTAAGAAACACACATGTTGGAAACCAGAAGCCATGGGCAGCAGATATGAAGCAACGGGAAGCAATGCCTTCCCTGGGTGAGCCAAGGGCAGCAGATATGAAGCAATGCCTTCCCTGGGTCTTAGTGCTCAACCTCTCTGCTCTTCCTATCCCTATTCTGACTCTGCACGCACCGCCAGCTAGCTGTCGCAGCCTGGTAAGAGTCTTTCCCAGGAGGGGATCAATTATCTTAAAAGTGAAAAGTCTTCCAGCTTGCCAGACCTATTAACTTAACATTGAACCTGTGAAAGAGCCATTAAGTGGTAACGAAGCCATTTACCAGGCATGTTGTAACCTGAACATATATACTGACAGTTTCTGAATTTACTGTCAAAAAGGCAGTTGTGCTTTAAACACCACGAGTCCTGTGGCACCTTAAAAACTAATAGATGTACTTGGGCATAAGTGTTCATGGGCCCAAATAAATCACTCAGCTAAAGAAGTGTTGTGCCCATGAAAGCTCATGATACCATCTACATGTTTTGTCAGTCTCTAAGGTGCTGCTGGATTATTCGTTGTTTAAGTTTTTCCAGTTACAGACTAACATGCCTATCCTCTGAACCAAATAAATCTGTTATTCTTTAAGGTGCCACAGGATTCCTCGTTGTTTTTGCTGAAACAGACTAACACAGCTACCCCTCTGGAAGTCGTGCAATAGTGTACAATGTCTACAGGATCTTAGCTTAAACTTTGCTTTAAACATTTAATTAGTTTGTTGCTGAAGATTATAAAAATCACATCTCTAAAAAAATATCCTTGCATAGATTTTCAGATGCACAATCTCAATATTCAGCTTCAGCCTTAAAGGCTTCGATCTTCAGGCATATAGTTTTTTAAATACTCTTCAAAAGACACCCTTATCTAAAATACATGTTGTGATTTTAATTACTATTGTACAAACAATTGCTTCCAAAATCTTCCTGTCCTT